GCATATATATTCAAATGTGAATATATATGTATATAGAAAGCAACGAATAGTGCTGATGTAATGAAATGTCTTCGATGTATTCGAATGTGACATACCTCGAACACCCGTGCTGTCGGATTGGTATGCGACATGAATGTTGAAGGATGGTGTTCGATAAGTGCTCCAGCAACATATGCTTTTTTATGGCTAATTCTCATTGAAGCATCCTCATCGTACTCTGCATATAAGCATCTATATGCTTCGCATATCCCATCGACTAACTTATTGTTGCTGTTTCGCATCTTACAAACATCTTTTCATTGAATATTCCTTATTCTTCTTCAGTTTCTTTCGCATTGTTTTATATTCGTTTCGTGCTTTTTCCATCCTTTGAATAAATCATGTAATCGACTGCTTCATTGAATCCATCCATAATAGTCCTCGTGGTGCTACTGACAACTATTCGAGCATCTAATTCAGCTGTTTCAGTAACATTTTCAACCAATCACTCACTTAACCAGTCACTGGAAAATTATTCTTCTCAGCAAAATTATACTTCTCAGCATTAAATCTTTCCAATTTTTTTCTTCGTTCATTTTATTGGAGAAAACTTCTCACTTATGTATCATCTACTTGTGCGTTGATGAATTCAAATTTCGATTTAGGCATTGAAAACGCTTCATAATTGTGGATATGCTTATGTGATAGGCATTTCTGTTATGAACGTTTTGGATCTTTTGTGGTGAGAAAGAAAAAGTGAAAGGATAATTAAAGTGAATGTGGAAATTAAGGATTTCAAGTTTCGTCATCGTTACCATTCATTTGAGAGCGTTGCTTGACTTTATAACAGTTCTCATCGATACAGTCGTGTACATATTCAATCAGTGATCAAATGCGCTCTTCTCATGATAGATCGCCTCCTGTTTTCACGGAAGTCAACCCTTCTTGATGCTCTCATATTTTGTGTTGTATTCGCAACTTGTACAGGTCAGCTTTATCGTTCATCAAATACCCTTCGTTTTATGGTTCGCATTTTATGAAAGCAATATGCTATAATTTAGTTTTATTTCGACTGTCAGAACGCTTCGATCGGAATTCTGACTGTGGCAATGACGAAAAGTCAGGTCAGTCGGATTCCAATCGACATGAAATTTCGCTCGGATCTGAATGTTAAAATTTCGATCGAAACTGTCGAATTTTTCCAATCGATCATCGGTCGGATGCCATTCCTAGTGTTCATTCGATTCCGATGGACTCACTATAGAAGAAACAGATTTATAGATAGCACGAGCGTTTCATCATCACTGCAAATAAATGATTCATGTAAAGAGTTCTACGCTGGTGGTCTGGTTGGCATGAATGAATTTGCAAGTCCAGGTTATCCACAGAAATATCCACCCAGTAGAGATTGCGTTCGCGTTATTGAGGCACCTCCTGGACACGATATCCTCATACATTTCAGACACGTTTTTCAGGTACGTTTCTATGCCATGCGTTATTCGAGAATAATTATAAATGACAGTAGAGTTTCTTGGACTGCCGAGAATCACCTAATGAATGCAAGTGTATATACATACGTATTCGCTGAATATAAACTAATGGTACTTCCGTCAATAAATATAGCTGAAATGAAGGTGGAAAGCTGCAGGGAGAGGTTATGAGGTGTTGAAGCTGATTACTGATATTGCAATAACGTCCTCATCCGTAATGCATCGAAGATACAGCAGTGTAGAAAAGTTTTCTCCTTGAAGAGCACTGATAATTTCGATTCAACGCCATCAATTACGCACGCTCGATTTTCGATTTTTTTGCATAACTGTAGTGATTGACATCTGTAGTGAAATGAACAGCTTCAGAATTATATCATAAGAGAACTTTCAACACCATCGAAACAAAAGAATTATGATGTGTAAGAATATGTGTAGAGAAACGTGGCTGGGCCTTGCAAAAAACTGAAATAGTTGGTGGGCATTCTCATGCACTGTTGCTCAGTTTTTGATGTGCATACCTTTGAAGTTTCTTAACTGGAATTTATCACGGCTGATAGCCAATCACTATTTATGAACAAATCGGAAATTTTTGTATATTCTCTCATCAGTTTACGCTTCAAAATTCAGCTCCAAATGATTGAGAAGTGCAAGATCGGTAGTCAAGAATAGAGCTATTCTTGAATACTGTTGTATTTCTACGAAATGATCAAAACAAAAGTCGTTCCAGTTCTACAAAGCCAGCTTTCTGATAAATGCAACCAGTGGATGAAATAAATGATAGCCGCTCGTTGTATTAATACTTTTCGCATATCAAAATATGGAATGTGTGTAATGCACTTTCGCTATTTGATATAATCTATCTTAGTCGCTGATTCAACTTCTTCAAAGGAACGAATGAAGTTAAAGTAGCTGGCTTGTTGATGCACTTTCATGCATGCAAACAACGTGTTATTTGGCAAGAATTTACGTTTTCGTACACTGAGAGAGGGTGCACCTTTAGTTTTGTTTGAAAAATTCATTGTTATTGCAAACGAATGATGAGCTACGAGTATAAAATAAACTGAAAGTGCTATCATCTGTTAGAAAATCAATGGGCATGTGCAAAAATGTTTGATGCATCATGCAATTTTAGATTGAATCCACTTACGAGTATTCATCTCTTAAAGGATCATCAGTCTCGAATGCAATTCATTGCCCAAATGACTTCATTGTGAGTCATCGTTCGATTTCATTTTTCTCACTCTTTATAATCTGTCTCTCCGTCAGGCATGCTGTCATACTTGATAAACACATCAAATGCACTTCGATTCTTCAAAAAACAAAATTAAATGATATTAAAATCTTCCCCAACACTGGAACGCTGAGCGAATAAAATTTACATTTTGAAACTGCAACCAGTTCAAGCCTATTTTTGATTATACCGTGGCAATAAGATTGCTTTCTTCCATAATTCGGAATGAATGTTTTCTTATACGATTAATGAGTTCATATTTTCTTATTCACACCAAATATGAATTCATTAACTTGTTATTTCAATACAGTACCTAAAGTGAAACTGAATTTTCGCTATTTTTGGTGTGTCACTTCACATAAATACCCCCTGCACTCATTCGCTCCACTTGAGCGTGTTATAAATCATTCGGTAGTTGTTGGAATGCAATTACTTATATACTAGTGAACTCGTACTTCTAATCATATTTATTACGGAAAAAATGAAGTAATAATTTGGAATTTTATTGCTTTCACGTTGCTTTGACATAGCCTCTTTCAGCATAGAAAGTTTTGCGACATGAAATTGTGAGATTTTTTTCCATGTTTTTGACAAATGAATAATTCAAACCATTCAGTTACTGCCAGATGAGTTTCTATAATGAGCCACTCTTGTGACTTCCAGCAACAGTGGATTCTGAAACCTTAGGCGGAATTATGATATTGGGTCTTTCCGAAAGGGCTTGCAAATGATTTGTGGAAACAGATTGATGGATTTTGAGAAAGGCTTATGTCTCAAATACTCAAGTGTGATAAACAGCCATGGTATAGCAAGGCAACATTCTAGTCCCGTTTGCAAACTAAACATCAAAAAATCCACCAACTGAATCATATCAAATTTTTGCCACAAACCTTATTCAGTACAGGTTTTATTTCGTCTTGCTTTCACCGTTTCTACTTGACAGCACATTTTTTGCGTGAAGCAGCCCTCGAAATAATTAACCATTTCCTTTCCGAAGTGATTATGCCATACACTTGTAATTCTGTGATCAATTGAAAGAGGCTACCGAATGACATATAGCATGCTGAAATAAACTGGTACATTTCATGTAACTTTGTGCTATAGGTGTCTTTACAATCCTACCACTATTCTCATTCCTTGCGTAACGTGAAAAGGCAAAACATATTTCCAAGCTGAAAGAAGTTCCAATCTTCAGTTCAACCCTCTTCGAGGAGCTACTTTGAGAAATTCAGGTTTAGGAAATCCGTGATGGTCGTTACGGTTTTTCGCCTCTAATTGGACGATTTTGTGGCATGCAAATTCCTCGGGGAGAAATTCGAGCCAAGTCCGGTACTATCTGGTTACGTTTCTACTCGGACGAAGTTTTGGAATACAAAGGATTTTATGCTGACTATGAGTTCGTTTTATCCGAATCACGACTGCGACCGACATCTGGTATGCAGCTGCAATTTTATTGAATAGGGGACTTTGACGCATGGAGTGATGGTATGAAGCATAAGGTTTTTTGAGATTGCAACTTCAACATTTTCGCAGTGCAGTGTAATAGTAGAATACCGTCATGTATCATTAAGCAAAAACATACACAAACAAATTCATTACTTCGCACTAATCGATTACTAATTTCATTGTTGTAGGCATAAATATGCCTTTCGTTGATCATGACTTTCATTCGTTGATTGAATTCGGCCTACAGATTTCCTGAACCGTTTTATGAAGCAAAAGAACCCACCATCATTGTGAATCACTCCTTTTTCAGAGTGCAATATTGTACAGAATCTTTCATTGGATGGATATATCGACTCCAAGAGTTTACACGATTTTCATCAGGTTATATCATTACCTATCGCCTTTAATTTATGACTTTTATGCACACAAGTTTGCCTTTAATTTATCGCCACTCCCACTTCAAGTTACCTTTCGAAAATTTGTTCAATGAATTCGAGAGCGCAACTCAAGGTAATTTCAGGCACTGTATTCGAGATATCATTTTCAAGTTAGATTCAGGTTCCAAGGAAATTTTGTGATTATTCTTATTAATTCAAGTCATCATTGCATAAATTCCAGATTTATGGCAATGCATCAGACTCAGTGGATTGTGTCTGGCGGATTGATGTCCCACAGTCACTACAAGTTGCACTTTTCGTTGAAAACTTCACACTCGGTGCGCCGAATATGTGCGATGCGAATTTCATGGAGGTTTATTCGGGACACACTTCGGATTTACCGTTACGACGTTTCTGTGGTATGAGTGCATCACAGACGTTCGCTATGCATAACACCGTCTTTGTACGCATCTATGCGACTAACTCAGCGCTGATTGGGCTTTACACAAGAATTCTTTTCACTGCATATTCCAGACGTGAGTTCGTTGATTTTTCGTATTGCTCTGGAGACAAAATGTTATGGCTCTGCGATACGAACGAATCATTTAGTCTCAATTTGTTTTCATTGACGTTGTTCCCAAAAGAAAATTAAAATTGCTATATGATGTATCTCTTGAAGACCTCTTAAAGAATATTGTACACTGAAATCTCTTAAAGAATATTGTACACTGAAATGAGTGTTACAGTAATGATCAAATTATCGAATGAATATCTTAGGGACGTTTGCTGTCGATCGTTAAACGTAAAACTACTTAAATCCTCATTAAGAACAATGAAAATAATCAACAAAATATTATTAGAATACATTTATTGCTTTGTTCTAATTTAAATAAATCATTAGTGACGATGATGCTTCCCTCCTTCTTTTCAGTGAAATGCTACCATTTCAGAAAAGAATTGCTCATCAGTTGGGTTGTTCAGTTGCGGTGATGACACCTGCGTGCCGATGAGTCTTGTGTGTAACAATAATATCAATTGTATCTACAAAAATGATGAACAAAACTGTCATAACGGTTCCTTAGTTTTCACATTTTAAAATTAGAATACAATGGTTTGCGTTAAAGTGTAAAAGCAAATCATTTTGTTTTTATCGATTCGTTTGATGATTGAAACAATTTGTTCGGTATTCAGGACGTGATTTAGTCAATTTGTCCAAAAAATTTCACACGCACAAATACTAAGCATCTCAAATAAAATGAGATAGATTCTTGTCGATTTCCAAAAATGATTGGTATTTGATTGCATCGTTGAGATAATCTCTTAGCGATTAATGATCATCAATATTCAATGAGAGAGACGACAACTTTTATGAAGGATATCGAACAAAATGAAAAAACAGTTTTTTTTCAGTGAACGATTCATTTCTCGATCTATTTACGATGGGCTTCAGTCAACTATTACTGATTGTTTTCACGATGTTCATCATAACCGTTATCCTGTGCCTTTGGTCACTCACACACTGTTCATGTCTAAGATCTCAACGAGCCAGGTAATTATTTGAAAAATTGATTGCGAGAAAATGGAAACGTTCTAATTATTTGCGGACTATGTCAGTTACACGTTCATTTACACATATTCTTCCGCAATATTGTCTGTATTACCGCAAAGAACGTTCCTTTCGTAAACATTTACTCTAACAACGCAAGATCAGCGACAGTATTTTGTTAACGACTTATTGGAATACGAGAAAAATCGCCTTGTTAAGATGCGATGATTATTTAAAAGAGCTGTCGTCGATGCCACCTCCGGGTATTGTTCCGAGACTAACAACCACTAATAACACCACCATCACTGTATGTGACATTTCAACAACCGACAAAAATGGCGAGTTCTAGCTGAATCTCTTATCTTTTATCAGTTGAATTTCCTCATTGATCATGCTTGACTGTTTACATCCCAGCATGGTCGCTCATTAACTGCTACGGCATTTACCTCAATGGTTCGCTTCAATGGAACCTGATGCAACGAATAGTTTAGGTGACTGTCGATCTCAAGTGACGACAATAGAACCAAACGAGAGACTGCATAAAATTCAATCTGCTTCACAGAATTTTGTTGAGCATCGGTTTTGGCCAAGCGATAATTTAACGGTTTACTTTTCAATGTTTCATACGTTACATTTTCAACATGTTGCTATCAAAGTTGCTAACGGATTTATAACAAATGATATTGCAGCACAACAAAAGCAACAACAACGAAATTATCAGAGCACAAGATAAAGGTAAACTTTGTTATCTCGTCATGGCATCAGTAATCAGAATACTGTCAATAATAATAAGTTTTCTATTGAAGCACGTCCACTATTCGATGGCAATAGGATCAGTAGCGGTGGTGGTCGCAGTGTGTGGAGAAAACGTTTCAGTCGGAGTGACTCTGACGAATGTACGTCGACGAACTGGCTGACTGCATCTGATCTGACGTTTCCACTCGATCGCAGGAGATCGCAATCATCGATTCGTGTACAAATATGTGACTGACTGACTGACTGACTTTGATGTAAATATAATACAGAATCAATCGTCACCCTCTTGAAGACGAATTAAACACTGAACTGATCCAAACCAATTTCCTTTCTTGACTGGTTTCAAATACGCACATTATTCTCTCGAGACAAGATGCAAACAACGCATCAATAATATTCACGTTTCATATAATGCGAGAATTGCCACGGAACATACCATAGTATCTATGTCGTGTGCTAAGAATACGAAAACATCTCCAGTACATGTCTAGTCTGCTGGTGGGATTTTTGTTCTGAAATGTATGCTTTATAATTCAAACCAGGAATGCAGAAACGATGCGAAGCTTCAGCTTGTCATGACTTCTAGGTAAAATTTCACGGTACTTCAACATCGCAACATGTAGCATGCAACTGCCTATCTGGACCATGCGACAAGCGTCAAGGGATGTACTTCTCAAAAACTATTGAAGTTCAGTATACATGACACTTGAAGAAAAAACACAACATACTCACACTAACGGGATGTTTGAAAAATCTAAAAATTTAGTGCCTATAAAGATGATGGTGGCGCATTTGTAGGCGTAAGCACGAAGCTAACGTAAATAAGAATTTACTTAATCAAACAGGAGCGATAACAGGAAAAAAAGTCGCGACTGAATCTCGTTTATTTAATGAATTGTTGAAAGGAATGATCGTGATGAATTAAAGTGTTTATGAATTCAATGAATATGATTACTTACAATGTCGACGAATTAATATTAATCTAACAAAAATATCAAAGTTGATAACAATAAGAAATCAGTAACAATGTTTTTAGCAATAACAATAACCGATAGAAAATACCCATTACAAATAGATAAAAGAACAACATTAAATAAAAGAACAACAACATTAAAGCATCTTTTTTCATCGGTCAACATAAAAACATCTCGACCAAACGAACAGTAGAATAGACGTTGCAAACACAAAGTATCAAATTCCGAACGGGAATAGTCGCAAAATAAATAAGATATCGTATAAACGTTGTAAAAACAATTCCGCACAATGCCAACACACAAAACTAGCTCAACTGACCATTGAAAAGCCACAATTTAATGAAGATATGATTGAGGAAGTAAAAAAAATGTTATTCTATAAAACGATCAGTCCTTGACTATCAAACTGACAAATAAAGAATGAAAAGTAAAAAATTGAAATCAGATTAAGAAAAGAACGGAGATCGACTCGGTGCACTGGTTGCACTTTGGTACTAATATTCGAAAAACAGATTCTTCAAGGTTCTTGCATTACCCAACTATTGCGTCCCATTCACACAAAAAACGACGTTTGATACACCAAATCTGTAACATCTACTCCATACTTTAACAAGACGTGTAAAATCACAAAAGTCGTTCGAACGTCTAATTCAGAACTATTCGCTTCTCACTGGCAATATTTGAAGATTATCAGAAGTAATACTGAAATAATAACATAAAACATCAATTACCATGAAATGAAAAACACACAAATGTTCGATTCGATGCAAAACAGATATGGAGATTTAATGAATACGAATTAGATAGAAACTATACGGAATGCAAACCAAATGCATTTGAAATTTAATGATAGAAAACAGCTTTTCTGAGGATTCAAAAGAACACTGAGCACTGTTTCGAGCTGTAAACGTAGGATCGAACCAAAATCAAAATAACTTCAGAATCAATTCGATCCAGAAAATTCGAAAATGCGCTTCATCAGTAGATTCGTTGAAAGGAGGGACACTGATATCACAATATATTCACAAAACTGGAATAAACTATCAAATGTACACGAATCAACGGATAATTTCATTGGCCACAGTTGGATGACATACCAGCTTTATAGGAAAACGAAGACTGTAATGATGCAATGGAGTTATACGAGGATGATGACATTATGAAAAACGCGCAGACATCCGTATAACTGAAGTTGGAACTTCTGTTTAATTGTTCGTCACTGATGTGAGTGGGCATGTCCAATTGAGGATGATCCTTCATGAGAATGCGTATCGAAAAGTCGTACAGCTCCAATAAGGGCGAAACCAACTATCATGAATGCTAATTTTAGTAAGTTCGGATGCTCATTGTCGCGTTCGTGAAGTAGAACCTCAAAACAATAACTTATGTAAACACATACATATAATTTTGTAATTAACATGTTTATGAAAGGGAACAGTGCTACAAACCCCAGCGTGAACCCTGGATAAGCCTCAGTCCCAGGGTAATTCCCANGCTCAGCCTTGCGGTGAGCCTCAGCCAAAGACATGAGTAAGTCTTCATTTAAGGATTACGTACAACTCGGCCCTTTTTTTTATAAACACATTTACTATAAAATTACACAAGTGAGCAAACCGTGATCAGTCATCCATAAAAAACCTTGCGAAAATAACAAATGGAATCTCAACCATTATCGATAATCACGGTTTAGATATAACTGCAACGAAAACTCGAGCAATGCGACAATAGGAATAATTGAACGAATAAATTTTCTAACCTCGAAAAATGTGACGTAAATAAATGTTCCAACTGCGAGACCTTGCGTGATAAGAATTATAAAATCTTTCAATTTGTTATCTATTTGAGCGTTTTGTACGAACATTCCAATGAGCCCACCGAGTGGCGACATCAATGACAGCAACAATAGACTACCACAAACCCAACCAAGTGCATGTGCATGAGTTCGACCTAATTGTAAGCCAACCGAAAATGCAACGATGAGTTTATGAACCATTAATGAGATGAACAACGCGAGAAGTTCGGTGAAGTCATTCTGAAAATTTTTCAACTGATTCAACAGAAGTTGCAATAGGAATGAAACGTTTATCAGAATAGTATTAAAGATAAAGTTCGACTGGCAAACAACAAACCTGAACACCCAACGCAAGTCCTTCAATAACTGAATGGAATGAGATCGCCAGTACAAACGTTATACTCCTTACACCATGAATATGTGCATGTGGCATACTCTTCATCAGAATCGGTGGATCTTCATTGACAGTTTCGCAGTTCGTTTCACATGCTTCCGGCTCCGCGAAATTCACACGACTGCAATTGAAAGATGAGTGCTGATCACCAGTGTAACCTTTCAGTTTATGAAAGATTTTGTCATTAAAACTTTGGTTTAACCAATTCGTTCAAATAAGCAATACTTTGAAAACATTCACTTGCTGAATTCGACTGCTTCGAACATGCAGTTGTATCTCTACTTCTAAAATGAAAACGAAATTTGAAATCGCCTACAGTAAAACCCTTCAACACAGTGGTTCTCAATATTTTAAGTTATCCTCGTACCCCTCACAACATCCACTCTCTACCTCTCATCCCCTACAGTAAGTGCCTTCAGTGTAGATAAGTGTGCATCTTTGGAGTACGTTCTAGCCTTTCCAATATATATATATATA